AGATAAGTATCTTTCGTTGCTTGATAAACTATATTTCATTTTTAAAAATTTCAGTGAGTAAGGAGTTTAATTAATGGGTTAGAACATATAGACTGCATCTTGTCATTAAATCCCTCGGCCCCTTGTTGTGGTACATCATTTCTCTTAAATGTGAAGTTCTGAATTTTTAAATGTTTCCTTATGTATGGTCTGCACTCTTATTTTCCTTCTCTAATTTATACCTTGCAGATCAGCCGCGTTGAAAGTGAATTTTCTTCTTACAAGATTCGTGCTCATGCACTGCTCCAGAAAAAAGATGCAGAACTAGCTGCTGCTAATGACTCTGAACAGCTCAAAGCTCTTGAGGAAGCACTGAAAGTATGATAGCCTGGTTCTTATCTCTTATATTGTTAAGAAAAACATCTAATTGTAATATTAGTATATTATGATTATTTATTTGGGGTATTGGTCATGCAGGAGGCTGAAAAAGAAGTGTCACTGGTATCTGAAGAAAGGGATAAGGCACTTCAAGAACTTCAAGATGCTTTGGCTAATCATGATAAAGAGCTTGCAGAAAGGTAGTGTTTATCTTGTCTTTTTGTGAAGGAAACATTGTGCTTATGAACTTTTGTCCTGTAGGAGTTTGAGAAAAAGTAGTACTGCATCTGCATAAATGTTCTTGTGTCTGAGGATTGCACTATGCATGAAAAGCCGTAACTCAGATTTTTCAAATGCATATTCTTAAGAATTCTCATTTTCAACATTTATCTCAGAGATGCAGTCCTAGACAATGCCAAGCAGCAGATAAAGAACTTGGAGATAAAGCTTGATTCTCTTAATGCTCAACACCTATTAGAGAAAGAAACATGGGGGAGAACCCTTCAAAATGTGGAAGAATCATGGCAAGGTAACAAATCAATGCTTAGTCCGATAATGTTTTGTAAAACTTCATATTGATTGTATTATAAAATACAGTTAAAACTTGCAATTATGATTTTACAGTCAGATGTGAGTTATTGAAATCTCAAAATGAAGCATCCTCTGGGCAAGATGTACAAAAGGAATTAGAAGAGCTTAAACTTCAGTATAAACGACTGAAGGTATCTTTGCATTTGGTTGTTTTATTGGCTTGTATAATGTTAAACATCATTTTTTTTTTCTCTTAATTGGATTCATAACTTGTAGGGAGAACATGATTCATTCCGTGATCTGGCTGATAGAATGCTCGAGGAAAGAGACAATGAAATTTCTAGACTTCTGGACGAGAATAAGAATCTTCAAAGATCTCTGGAGTCGAAACCAACAGTATTTTTCTTCCCTTTTTCATTTCATTTATTTGTAAAAATTGGCTTGATATTTAATATGTTAATAAAGTAGTCTTCCACTTCTGTAATTGTGGGCTGACAATGTGATAAATAGTACCAGGCCAATCACAATGATAATTACAACGCAGGTATGGGGTTTTTCACTACCATTTTACAAATTGATTTATATAGAGTGGCTGTCTGGTTTCTAATATGTCCTTTCAAACTGTTATGATCAGCTTCACGAAAACAGGATGCTCTGAATTCTGACACCTCGGTAGCAGAGCAGCAGATTCTGGTATAATCATAGTCTCTCCAGTGAAATCTTGTCAAACATTTATTTCACCGAGTATATTTGTGAGATGATCATAGCACTACTAATCTAAATATCAGTGGATGGTAATTTATACCGAGTATTATAATCCAATTTGAGGTTTTTAGGTACTGTACTTTTAGGCTTGTGTACATAGGATTCATGTATTGCACATCAGCGGTTTGTTTATTTTGCGTATATATTCTTTCCCTAAGACTTTCTTGTGTATTTTTTGTGTCACATCAGCTTTTGGCTAGGCAACAAGCTCAGAGAGAGGAAGAACTAGCACAGTCCCAGCGGCACATTTTAGCACTTCAAGTATGTCAATCCCAATCTGCTCCTCTCTTACTCTTTTACAGTTCAGTTTCTGATGTTTGCTTCCACTTCAGGAGGAAATTGAGGAGCTTGAACATGAAAATCGTCTCCATAGCCAACAGGTATTAATACTGGAAATTGAGTCAGCTGTAGATGCATGTAGAACACAGGGACTAGCATTTAATATAAGAAGAATTGTAGAAGACATTACTGCCTTGAAGAAAAGTTTGAGATAATCCCAATTGAGGACAAAATTAATAGAAAGTTGCATGAGACTTTTTGCCCATATTCCGCAAAAGACCTTGTTGAATGGACATCTATATAAAGTGAACTTGTAGTCACTTCAGTTTTGGTGTTTTGTCCTGCTGGAGTTAAACATGCCTTTATCTGAAGTAAGATAATATTCAAGGTAGAACATGAGTACAACAGGTATCAATATATTGTATTTTGTCTTTGGTCTTGCAATTACTCACGTTTCTTCCAATTTAGTATCTTGTTTCTTTTTATTTTTATGTTCACGATCTAATTAAGGAGTGAACCATACTCTAATTTACAAATATAGAGTTGGGGGTGTCTGCTTTGTGAATTATTGGTTGTCATTTGCTGTTACCTGTTGGCACTAATTTTGATCTATCATAATGCAGGAAGCAATGTTGAAGGAAGAGCTTCGCAACATGGAAAGAAAGCAGAAGCGAGAAGGGGTTGATATGACATATCTGAAAAATGTTGTCGTAAAGCTTCTTGAAACGGGTACCTTTCCTGGAGTGACTAACGATCACATTAGTAGAACTTCTGTTAATTTCTCCTATCTAGAGTTTTAATTTCTGATAAATTTCTACTTCGCAGGAGAAGTGGAGGCCCTGCTACCTGTAATAGCAATGCTTCTTCAATTCAGTCCTGAAGAGGTCAGATCCTCAACTTTTACTTGAAAATCCATTTTATGATCTGTATTTATTTTATACTAAGCTGATGCCCTAGGAATCATCCTGAAAAGAAAGCAAACAACAGATACCTAAGCAATGCATGAGACTGCCTAGATATGCCCTAGGAATCATCCTGAAAAGAAAGCGAACAACAGATACCTAAGCAATGCATGAGACTGCCTAGATGGCCATTACTATTAATCTAACATATATTAACTATGTTTCTTTGGGATGGCAAATATGGAAAATCAGAAGCTTATGAGATTGTGGAAATCAGATGGGGGGAATTAGATGGTCCATTTATCACCACCCTTTCTGATGTTATTGCTAGTATGATACATCAGGGGTCAGCCACTCTCACAATAACTTACTGATCCAAAATCTTACACTGATGTGGCATATTTTGTGCCAATGCCATGTGAAAAAGTTTCAATGCTATATCATTGTGATTCTATGCTGATTGAATGACCTGTTTCAGGTCTACGGAAGCTACACCTTTCTGTGGTTAGCTTGCCCTCTTTTGTATGCTCTATTAGTTGTAATACCGTTCTTCTTGTTGCTATAAAAAAAAATAATAATAATAACGGTTGCAATGCTATATCATTGTGATGGAATATTTAAATTTCATAATCTTCTGAGACACACTTACAACTCCAAATTCATGGTTAATTGTCAACTTGATATGCACAAAGTAGAGTGACATCGGATGTAGTATATTCCTATCTGGCCCACTTCTTTTCAGGGGAAGTTCTTAGTATCAAACGTTCCCCTAAGGTGTTTCTCTGACATCAACTCTTGTCTTGGCAAATTAGCTGTGTGCTTATTGCTACATCGTTTATGCGAATGCAGATGCAGAAGTGTCAACAAGCCTACCGCACCTCCACAGATGTTCCTCCCACTCCGGCAAGTGATGCTTCAGGATCTGGTGTCTCACTTTTCTCAAGATTCTCATTTTCATAGTAGCTAAATGATGAGCAAATGGGAGTTCTTTTATTGCATGAGAATCATCGTCAAACGCCAACCAGCTGCAAAAATTGTTGGCTGCCTGGCTGCAGATTCAAAATCAGAGGTCTGTCGTCACAGTAAATCTTGTATTTTTTTGTAACAATTGAACATTACCTCACTAAATTCTTCAGATAATATAAACACAGAATAGTTACGAGTGATAGTGATATACAACGAATAGCAGGAGAGTATGAAGATTCCGGCCGCATTCAGCTATGCTACACTATCTGGAAAAAATCTTGAAGCTGGACAGGCTATTGTTTTATCTTTTCTTTTTCTTTTTCACAAGTCTCTGTAGAGTATGAAAGAAATTATGTTCAAAGAACTTTATGCAAAAATCAAATTTATTCAGAAACAAAAATCCACCAAGTCTCAATCTGGTGTTAAACATGGAGTCAACCGGTGTGTGACCAGCTTTATGGCCAGGGTAGCCATGGCTACCTAGGTTATATAATTTTTTTTAATTTCATTATAATTAAATTTTATCCTTTAAGCTTAATATATTTACACTTTGGCCCCCCTTACTTAATCATCAAACCTCACTTTGTGATTCTTTGAATGCAATTTTTTTATGAGTTGGTTCCCTGCAAGAATGATTCTTTCTTGATGCAGATATATTCTATATTAATCCTCTGCTTAAGGCAAACGATATAACAGAATTATTTGACAAAATTCTGTCTTTGTAAAGTAGGAATCGATCATGTTCATGTCTATATTATATGCCTAGATGAGCACCGATAGGTCTAGTAGTAAGACGAATTTTGAGATGGATAACTAAGGCATATCTTATATTCGGATCCCCTAAATCCTAAGATAGCTGGCCCTTTTTAAAAAAAAAAAATAAATAAATAAATTATATGCCTGGAGTATAATATATTTCTTCACGTGATGCATTCAATTTTAGAGATTTACTGAGAGAAATACAAGTGATATATCATTTTCAAAATGAAGAGGTTCTGCAAGTTGAAGTTGGTGTGAGCTGGTCGGGTTGGTGGGTGAAGTGATGACTTGCTGTCCAATTTTATTAATTAAAACGGTCAAACATCAGTAAAACTTGTCATATAAAATATACATGTATACATACAAGTCAAGCACTGGTATTATACCAATTTTGATTAGAATACAAGAATAATTAAAAGCTTGAGACAAACAAGATACTTGGAAGTTGGAACCATTGATGTGTGAATTGGACTACAGTAACATTAACGATCTATTCAAAATTCCTTCTCATTTTCTTCTGAGAGAATTACATAATAAGCAAAATACTCAACTAATCACCAAACCCATATAGAACAACAATCATGAAAAATGAGATCACAAAACCAACCATGGAAAACAAAAATCCTACAAAATTATTAATATTATTATTATTATTATTTCTACTAAGATAAAGACTCTCTTCATGCCATTGCAATGAATGAATCAAGCATGCTTTGCCTGGAAATCCTTCATGAAAAGAACCAATTTCTCCACTCCAGCCAAAGGCATAGCATTGTAAATTGAAGCTCTCATCCCACCAACTGACCTATGCCCCTTCAATTGCACCATATTTTCCTTGGCAGCTTCCTTCACAAACTCACCTTCCAACTCAGATTTCTCCAAAGTAAACGGCACATTCATCAGTGACCTCACTGACTTCTCAACTGGACACCTGTAAAACCCATTGCTCCCATCAATGGCATCATACAACAACTTCGCCTTGTTTTCGTTCATCTTCTCCACCTCCTTCAACCCGCCCAATTCCAATAAGTACTCAAACACCAACCCGCACATGTAAATGCAATAACAAGGAGGTGTATTGTAAAGTGAATTGTTCTCATTATGAATCTTATAATCCAACATTATTGGAGTCGTTGTTTGTGCATTACCAATCAAATCCTTTCTGACAATCACAATTGTAACCCCAGATGGACCCACATTCTTCTGGGCTCCAGCATATATAACTCCAAACTTGGAAACATCAACAGGCTTAGAACAAAAATTTGAAGACATATCAGCTACCAGAATCCCTGTTTTATTCTTTGGTGTTGGATAATCCTTGAACTCAACTCCATGAATTGTTTCATTAGCACAAATATGCAAGTACTTAGCATCTGGGTTCTGTTCCAAACCCTCAAAAGCTGGAATCTTTGTATACTTCTCAGCTTTCCCAGACCAAATGACATTAGTTTTGCAATACTTTTGTGATTCTTTGACAGCTTTATCACCCCACGACCCCGTTACCAAATAGTCCACCGAGTCATCGGGTGTACACAAATTCAAGGGCACCGCCGCGAACTGCGTCGTGGCGCCGCCTTGTAAGAACAAAACGGAATATTCTTCCGGTATATTCAAAAGGGTTCTTAGATCCGACTCAGCTTTTTCAATAATTGATTTAAACTCCTTACCTCTGTGACTCATTTCCGTCACGCTCATGCCGCAGCCGCGCCAGTTGTAGAGCTCCGATTGCGCCTTTAGCAAGACCTTTTCCGGCAGGGTGGCGGGGCCAGCAGCGAAGTTGAAGACCCGGTCGGGTTGTTGAGCATGGATCTGAGTGGACGGGTGGGTTTGAGTTTGGGAGACCGAAGACGAGCACGTGATAGAAACAGGTCTGGCTTTGGTGGGAGAGGCGAGTTTGAAGTTTGGAGATTGCGTGAAGTTGTTGTTGGTTTTGAGAATAGGGTTTTTGAGGAAGAGAGAGTTTGGGGATGAAGTGATGGACGACATGTCGACTGTTTCTTCTCCTTTTGAGTTTGAGAAAAGAAGAAGAAAGCGAAATTGTTTTTGATGGCAGTGAGATCTGAATCTGGGTGGCCTTTTATAAAGAGGGAGATGCTCTGTGACTGTGAGGTTGGTGAGATGCTGACTGGACGCAACGTTGTCGTTTTAAACTTTCCTTGTTATTTGCTATACCATCTAAATTCTCGGAAAATTTTAAGAGCAAACATTGTTTCCACCCAAGGTTTAGCGAAATTCAAGGTTCCACCCGTGGTTTCATAAATTCCAATTTTCATCCTTAAATTAACGGAAATTGTTTTGATATAACGGTTCAAAGGTACAGTAGCCATTTTACTTATAAACTTTCAAAATAATTCTGTTTCCACCTTGGTTTTCTACCCCTCCTTCACCCATATTCATGCATACCCCTCCTTCACCCATATTCATGCATAGTAATGTTAAATTTATATCACTTTTTTATATTATTTTTATTATATTATAATATAGTATATGTACCACACAAATTTTATTATAATATTAAAAATTTAAAATAATTAAAAATTTATGTGATTATAATTATGCTACGTAATAATGTAATAAATATAGTATAAAAGAGTGGTGTAAACGTAGTATTACTCATTCACGCAGGCTGCACAGGAGGAAAGGATGGGCGTTGGGTTGGCTGGGCTGGTTGCGGCAAATGGTCGAATAGGTGGTGGGCGACAATGGAGCAGCAAAGTTAGAGTGGTAGAGGGATTGCCGGCGACCAGAAATCAACACAATGGCAACACAAGGTGATTTTCGGTGTGAGTTTCGGCCGGGATCTGGCCGGAAAAATGAGAAAAAAACGCGAAAGTGCAGTGGCTGTCGGCCGGCGTAAAATTACAAGGGTTATACGGCGTCGTTTGGAAAGTTTGTGTTATACCAGGGGACAAGTTTGTGTTGCCTGGAAAGTTTGGTACATGGTCTGTTGTGCAATTTGCCTTTCACAGTTTAACTGGAGAAGTTGAAAATATTTGTAAATTTGTTGAAACCTTCGTTAATGTGTATATCAAAGAGCTTGTTTTCTTGTGAATCTGTGACCAAGTTTCTCTTTTTGACCAATGTTCAATTTGGAAAACCATTCACAATTATTTTTGCTTAGACCTGGTAGGTGATGCAGTTCTATTCGTGAAGGCAAAATATATCTTCAATTTTATCATGTTTTTTGTTTCATGATCATGGAGAATCATATAAAATTATCACCAGAGAATTTAGATAATGGTAATAACAATAATAATAGCGGCTAAATGCGTGTGAAAATGGTGGGTTGTTTTCAGGAATATAAATAATGTGGACAAGACCATGGATGAGATCTACCAGCAGAATGAGAACGTGAAACAGATCCAGGAGACAAACGTCGGCTGTACGGAGGAGGAGAAAGAAGGAGAACGGCAGTTTGGTAATTGCACTTATCCATACTGTGTTAGAATCCAAAAAATTGCAAACGGTGTTAATTTTTAAGGGTAAGAATCTGAAATTTATGAAACCAGGGGTAAGAACTGGATTTCGCTAAACCTTGGGCGGGAACATGTCGTTTACTCAAATTTTAGTGTCTTAAATTCTTTGAAAAATTTAAAATTTCTGTTGGGCATTTGGTTGATTTAAGAAAAACATTTTGCAAAAGGTTGTCGTTTTGAAGTTAGGTGATGGGAAAACTGAATCTGAAGATAATAGTTGAACATGCCTTTTAGTTTTTGTTGTAACTATATGACAGTTCTTTTTTCTAAGTCCAGTTTTCAACATCACATTTTAAGGTCCATTTTTGGATTTGCTAATAAAAGAATCTAATAAATAACCTTTACCAATTTTAGTTCGATAATGAATTCTCGGTTTGATTGAATTTTTTTTTTTTTTAAATGATTAGGGTGTTCGACACCTCAACTAATCTTTATGGTTTATTAAACACCTTACAAGCTCAATGGATCAAGTAAGTCACAAATATAATAGAATCTGTTTTGTTTGTTATTTTGGATAGAATTTTAGAAATAGTATTGGGGAGTTAAGTAGGGTGATTATTACAAGATAAAATTTAAAAATTAACAAAAAAACCCCTTAGGTTTGCTAATTTAACTTAACACCCCAATATATAAAATTTTTATAAAATGACAAAAACACCCCCACCCACCCACAGTGCCAGATTCCGGCCACCACCATCGAAATTTGGCGTTACGATGTACACCAGTTGAATCTGACCGATCGTGCGTCGATCTAGCCTTTTTCGGTCAGATCCACCACGAATTTGGCCGAAAAAGGCCAGATCCACGGCCAAATCTAGCCATCGACGACTGCAAAAGGCTAGATCTGGCTGTCAGCAATGGCAAAAAATATGGCCATCGTTGTCGGTCAACGACGACCATTTCTTTGGCTGTCGTTGACGGTCAGATCGGCGAATTACCGACCAGTTTTGGTCGTTTGTACGCCGTTGTGACAGATTCCGACTACCACAGACGGTGGTTGCCAGAATCTGGCAACTATGGATGGGTGGAGGTGTTTTTGCTAATTTTTAAACCTTTTTTTTCTGGGGGTGTTAAATTAAATTAATAAACTTAAGGGGTATAAAAGAATTGAATAAAATATAATAATATTTCCTAAATAATGAAACAAACAGTTATTTTGAAAATAAGATTGAGACTAAGGTATGAAATAATAAATCAAACAGACCCATAAATGATCACTTTGTGGGACTCGAACACAAGACCGAGTAACCCACTCAAATGAATAAAGTTTTGTCATTTGACCACAAGCCAAATAATTTTAATTGAACATCCTTAGTTTCCATTGTCGAAGAGAAATAAATAAAATTATTGTATGATGTTCATTAATTAAAATTATTGTTTGAATGGAACATAGTTCAAAAAGTTACAATGAGAAAATATGCTCAATTAGAACATATGAAAGCAACAGTGGTTGTAAAGTAAAAAAGCTATAAAAAACTGGGGCTGCAGGCCTAAAAAATTCAAGAGTATAAAATTTCCCAGGTGCAACTCTAGTTGCTTTGTTATTTTTCTTTCTGGGTCCTTCATCCCCAACCCAATTAAGTAAAAGTTAGTAGCTATACATTATTCCATGTTATAGCTGAGTCCCCAATACAAAATGTGCTGGTTCTGATTTTGATGTGTGCCCAAACTTAGATGTGCAGTACTTCCTGTGTACCCCAGTGAGTTTCCCTGTTGCTGCTCTCTGGTGGAACGCAATCATAAGTCTTGCACATTCTCTGTCAGCAAAAAGGAAGCAATGAATGAGTTTCGGTACTGCATTTTCATGAATTTGTATTGAATTTTATGTTTAAAAGATGGTTAAAGAAATGACTCACAAGAGTTGATCTTCTGAGTAGCCGCTATGCCACTGACATGTCTTACTCCACTGCTTGAAGCCAAAAACAGTACATTGAGCTGCATAGATTGCAGCAGCTGCTAACAAAGATGGTGGGAACTTGAGCATCTCGTATTCCACAAGCGAAAGCTCGATTAAGAAGAAGGAGAGCAGCTCCAGCTGTTTTAAGGTTGTAGTTTAATTAGTATAACTATACAAACATAAAAGGTTTTGAATAAGTTTTTGAAGAAATACTACTACTAATATTAACCTTCTTGTCTGATTGAGCAGCCTTGAGGAACCTTCGGATGAAAACATATGGTGTTGGGACTGACATGTTAAATTGCAATGTGTTAAGCATCAAGGATTCCTGCATGTTTGCGAAGAAAAAAAATAAGTGTCCGATAATTTGCTGTGTGGATTGAGGAGTTGAGTACTCAAAGGCATCACTAAATACTATTATGGTGACAATAAAAGAAAATTACCATTTCAAGAACTTCTTTTCTATTGTAAGCTTTATCAGATATAAGAATTAAATCCCCAACGACAGGGACCGAAACCTCCTCATACTTGCAAGCTAATAGCATAGCAACTAAACCAACCAATTGAAGCTTCTTTCTAACTACTGTTTGCTGGGATAGAAATCTGTCAATGAGGTTAATTGTAAGAAACAATGTTTCGTGCATGAGATCGAACTTGTCGTGCACCTGCAGATTTGAACAAGGGAGATACAATTATTAAGAGTTGAGAACCATAAATCCCAAATACCATTGAGGCATTGGTTAAGTTGAGAGTGACTCTCTACCTCTATAAGCCAGTCAATCAGTATAGCCCTCATCCTCTCGTTAATGTCGATTTGTTGCGCCATGTAGTTCGGCAAGACACAACCAACACACTGCATATTTTGAGTGAAATCAACAGTCCTCGTTAGGTATGACATTTGCAATCAAAATAGGAATTAAATTTGACAGGTAATGTACTGATTAAGGCATTTGAAATAAATGCATCCCATATATGTATAAAATATAGGACAATGATAAACATTAGATTTACTTTTCATCTGTAAATGATGGAAATCCAATTTGAAAGTTTCACTTATGGTAATAAAGATGGAAAACTACTGTCATTCTCAATCTGTGTACCCTAAGTGGTTGGCCATGAGTTGTACAGATTATAATATGCATACATAAATGAACTTTTAATAATTAGTTACAAAATTGTCGTCAAATTTCCTGCGTAAAGAAGATGTGTGTGGAGGATTAGATCGAAAAGAAATCATAGGATTAAGAATCAGTAGTCAGAGGCGGGGATCCCTAGGAGCTGATTTACCAATAAAAAAAGAATTTGAACTTACACATACAATGTACTATAGAATGCATTTCAAATTATCAGATCAAACTTCAAAATCGAAAATTCAAGCATAAGCAGCAAGCAAGCATTTAGCCTCTGACCTCCATTTTTTTATAATAGGCATACAGATCTTCAACATATTCAACAACTGCTAATGGGTTCTTTGCATCACAGCCATCAATGTCCACAACAGGCTCTTCATCTATATCCTCCATTTCAACCTCCTCCTGGTGAATTTTTAGCAAACAAATTGTGGTTAATTTGACAAATCAATTAACAAATTTCAAAAAATTAAAAGTTGTTTCAATAATAATGTTAGATAAATACCATCTGCTCCATTTCGTTCGGGCTTGCTTCTTCTGTTTCCTCTAAAAACATTGGTTCTGGTTGATCTAAGGCTGCCTTGTTCTCCTCCACATCTATGAATATACAATCTCCAAATTCATTTGTGTTTTGAACTGAAGTTTTTGGCTTCTTAGGTTCTTGCATCGACTCTGGAGGGTATGCAATTTGAGCGGCAAACTTTCTGAACAGTAGCAATTTAAGAAAGGGTTATGTTTTGCTTGTTCTCCGGTAAGCAAAGCAAGATCCAACTTTCAAATTTTAAATTTCTTTCCTTTCCCTACCTTTTGTCACAAGCCAAAAAGCAAATAGAAAACTAAAGAGACAAAATCTAACCTTGTAATGGGTCGATGCACTGGATCAAGCTCCTTTTTTTCACAGATTGCATGGTTTCTGAGACAAAAAAACAAACACCAACTAAATTTACTTCCAATTCCAAGTGAACAGAAAGTGACAACCAACAAACAGAGCAAAACCAGCTCATACTAAATGAAATGTTAAAAAAAAAAAAAATTATTACCCTGATAAGCCTCTCTTGTTAACAATACAAGGGTAAGCTTGAGCTCCCACTAAATTCTGATTAATAACACTCAAAGCTCTTCTGTTGTGCTTAATCTCCTGCCCAAACTTTCTTCCTCCCATCTCCAATCCCCCTTTAAAAAATTAATTAAAAAAAAAAAACAGAAATTCATATTAGATCATGGAATCTACCATCGATATTCAATCCTATAACACGCAAAACTTACTATAAACTCCATAGATTTACCTTGAACATTAGTCGGTTTAGTAATGTTAAGATTGTTCTCACCAGATATAACCATTTTGTTCAATTTTTTTTTTCCCAGAAAACAATCACAAAACCCACTACTAAACCAACCCGAAACTCCCACCTTCAAGAATGAAAAATGCCCTAAAATCTATCTACACTAAGAACATTTAAAGAGAGCTCAAGACAAATGAAGCTACTAAAAAAGTAGCGACACAGTAGAGGAATAAAAAGGGAGGAAACAATGGGCTCTTGTCTGGCTTTGAGCCCTTTTTTTTTTCAAAAAAAAAAAAAACCAACGGCTAGTGAAATGTGACCGTTGGATTAGAGGCGATGACTTTGTGCACAACGGTCACTTTAGGTGGCATGTGGCGTGCCGCATCAGATTTCAAAATTAATTAGAGTGAGACTGTGTGAACAAATGATTGGTCCCTCAAGTTTTGATCCGGTTCGGTTGGTTTTTTTTACGGTTTGTCAGGTGCGCTCTTCTGTAGGGTCTACAGCATTAGGCTGATAGGCTCCCCACTGCTTTGGGCCAATTAAATCATCAGCTTTTTATTATTTTAAATGTTTTTTTAATCCCTTTTCTGTTATTCCTATCTTAAACATGTCTTAATTTTTTTTTTAATTTCCAAATTCGTAATTAAAACAAAAATGAATCAATTAGTATAGTAAGTATTAAATTAATATTAATGTCATAAAACACATAAATGTTTCGCATCCCATATATACTACAAGACGCACACGTAATAAACCCAGATGGTTGAGACGAATTGGGGATTATAGACGCACGGTTTAAGATTCGATTTCTTCCCCGAAGATTAATCGAGGTGCACGTAAACTGACCCGGACATCTTGGTTACCAAAAAAAAAAAAAAAAAAAAAAATCTCATAATACAAGCCATTGCATGAACAAAATTTCGAAGTCTCAAGCAAACTCCATTGTTTTGTGAATTTCAGCTATGCTTTAACTGTGCATTAAAAAGGCTGTATAAATGAAAGGTGGATCAGCAAGCCATTGTGGTGGTCTCACTTGCTGCCTTAGGTGAAATATTGTATAGTTGAAATTTGCTGGCAAATAACTGAGAATTGTTTGTTCCAGAATGGTAACAACTGCTAAAAAATGGAAGCTACTCGACACAACTTGGTGAATGGTTGGTGGTTTTACACTTTCTTTACAAACTAAAATGCAGCAGCCCAGAAATGGAGACATGTCGGTGCCTCTAAATTAGTACATCTGCTCAGTACATATTGAAAGCATAAAAAGAGAATGAGAAGTTTAATAATGAATAAATCAAACGGGCATATTCATAAAAACAAGATTAAGGGAGAAGGTAATTTACCAATCAGTTGTCAATTATGTAGTAACACTGTGTCAAGGAGTCTTACAGACATTATACAACAAACAAAAGCAGTCACTAGACAGAGGTAGCAGATTGCTATTCTCCTTAAACATGTTCTCGTGTTTGTTAATCTTCCTTGCGATCACCTCCTCTAACAATGAATGGCATTCTTTCTTCTCTGCTAAGTCATCGTTATTTCTTCTGTACACAATTGGCAAGTCTCTACAACCTTCTTGTGTTTCTAACCTTTCTGCTGCCTCTCCTCTTTCGGAACCACTTTCTGCTTGTTTATAGTTAGGTCCTGCTCAGAAAGTCTGCATTTCTTCACAACTAACTTCTGCTTTTTGGTTATCCCTATATTTGATTCACAGTCAAGAACTGCTAGACTATGTTTTCTATATATCTTGACCAATAACTCATTTTTCGTCAAATCAGAGGGCCTCAGATGGCAACTTAGCTCAATGACCTCCAGCAGTAAAAGATTTTTCTTCCCCTTGTCAACCACACTCTCTCATCCAACAAGCCCACCGCTAAATGTTTTCATAATAGTTTTTCAATGAACAGGTCTGGCCTCTTCTCATGTATATTCCCTTTCCAAGCAAGTGATAGTCAATCATGAAATTCTCTCTTTCTTTGTTGTAAGATTCAATAGAAGTTACCAGTGCATCAAAAAATTTGACCAACATCCATCCCATTTCATTGAAACATACACCTGGAGAACCACACATTTTCATTCATAAACACATATCTAAAAATTTACAACATATGGGTATTTATTCCAAAGAAGACAAAAAATAAAAATGTATGGTAGATAGATACACAATTAATAGGTTGTTTGCAGAATTACAACCATCTCAAACAGGGCTGCAGTGTTAAACTTAGTATTATGTTACCTACCATAATGGGAAAAGAAGATCTACTTAAGTTACCCTAAGTCTCAGTAATCACCTGGATTACATCTAGGTCAAATTGCTGAATACTTATTGCAAAAAGGTTTTAAGTCAATTTCTGAGGCTAGGTAAGTCACAATAGAGTTAGGTGACGCTTTCACTACAGTAAATACCAACAGTCCTTTGGCCTTCAAATATGACAAGTTACAACTGTGAACATAGTTGTTTCACGCAACAAATAGACCCTTGCATAGTTGGGCAATTCCTAACATAACATGCGTGCCCATTTGAAGGCATCAGCATGAACTATGGAAGGCAAAGATGATCACAAAATAAATACCATGGGTATGCATAATGATTATGTCTTACTATCCTACAAAAAAAAACTGCACATGAAACAGAGGGTTCGGAAAATCAGGTATTGTGCAGCAGTCATCTATTAATGCAAATGTGCTATAAGGCACCATCTGATACTAGATTCAGATGATCATAAATATGCAATTGGAAACACAATCTGTCAGATCCTTTTATAAGTTGCAACTTTGACGAAGTTATTAGCAGTACATATTATATCAAAATTAAATTCACTTACCATACCAGAGTCATTTACCATACCAGAGTGTGTCTCATTCAAAGCATTGACACAATCTTGAACTAAAGACGCCAACTCACTCAAGTTCTTCATCTGATTCAATTTCAGAAAACCAGAGATCTCAGGAGCAAAATTAACTTGATCTTTAGCACGTTCTCTTGCAATTTTAACAACTTCCTCCCATTTTCCATTATACAGAACAGAAACAAAAACCCAGATCACAAAAGCATCTTGGGGGTTACTGACTAATGCCTGGTGAAATGCCAACAGTCCTACCCCATAAAAAACACAAAATAAGATTATCAATTGCACACAGAATCTTGATTGCAAAAAATGAAAAAAATACAAAATTGTATGACCACTGTCCAAATAGATTAACAAATCCCAGTTTACTTTAGAACATAAACTGCACAACAATTGAATAAGTAAGAATGATCCATATGCTTTTCACAAAGCCACTGATTCTGACACCTTAACACCAGTGGTTGTTCCGTTATCTGCAGTGAGTTACTACAGAATAGATTATAATCATGCAGTCAAAGTTTAACTGGAGAATCGTGAAACCTCCGTAAATTAAAAAATTAAAAAAGTTCAACAGAGGCAATCCACTGATTCTGATAACAAAGTTTATAATGACACTTGTGATGAGTATCATATCATGATTATGAATAAATAAATAAATAAAGCAAACAGTTGGCTTACCACAAAATGCAATCAGCCAGCCGATCACAGAAACCAGCTTATCAAAATTAAATAACATTTTCTGAACCCAAAAAAAAAAAAAAAAAAAAAAAAGAAAGAAAAACAACCAGAAGTAAAACCATCAGTAAACCACTGCCTTAGAAAATTAAACATTGGATTTAGCTCAAAACAAGCCAGAGTTAAACAATCCAAAGGAAAACATAAGTTATTCCAATGCAAATACGGGCATATTAGTAACATGGAAATCAGATCTTATTAGAAACAACTAACAGATTTCGTTCTATATTTCTCATTGAATGTCCTAGTGTTTTTTACTACCAAACTTCATAAATTACTACCAAATATATCAATTTTAGTTTTAAGCTGACTAACCCATTTAATCCAAGCTTGATATTTCGAAGTTTTTTATTTTTTATTTATTTATCCTAATAGATACTGTAACTCCCAAATTGCTTGCAATTTCTAGAATAAATCAGCTTATTGTCCAACAACAACAAATCCTGAAATCTTTATGAACAAGCATTACTATTCTGCACCACAAAATAGTCTCCGAAGAATTCCAATTTTACTTCCGGAAATATATCAATTTTAGTTTTAAGCAGGTTGATGCATCTAACCCATACTTGATATTTCAAAGTATTATTTTTCATTTTTCTGACAGACATGCCAACCCATAAATTACTAGCAAATTTCTAGAAAAAACCAACTTCTTGTTCACCAACATATCCTTCCATCTTTATGAAAAGACGTATTATTCTCCAACACAGAGCAATAATCACAATATCTCCCCATCTTACTCTGCAATTCCAAATAATTCACGGTCAATGGTTACCATGCTTGATACAGAAGCTTACCATTAGCATCATGGAGTTCTAGGTTATCAGAAAAAATGAAAATAAAACAACTAGTTCACCCAATGGAATTAAATATAACCATTGACATTATTTGAGCTTTGAACTCAATAAAAGCAAAAATCAAATTAACAGCATAACAATATCTACCTTTGTTTCTCAGAACTTTCAAGACAATCCATGGAGGCAGTGGAATCACAGAACTAGTTACTCTAAAACTCCTCAAATCCACTTTTATCCATTTTGACAACTTCACATGATACATTGCTTTGTGAGTGACAAAATCAGAAGTTCAAAACCCAATTCGCGGCAAATTTGAGGTTGCAAAAAATGGTTGAATCTCTGTCCATTAATAATAAGTATGTAAACGATTACAAAGCATCTGAACAAAAGCCTCAGACCAAAAAAAGAAAAAGAAAATTAAATAAATGAAAGATTAGTTACCATTAACTCCTGTCTCTCTTCTTAGCGAGAATTTGTCGCGGAAGTGATAATAGCACCTTCTTCAAGCTTTGTTTGATAAAAATGCATTCGAAAATTTTATAACAAAATTTCCAAATTTCTAACAAAAATGCATGAATACATTTTTACTCACTAGAGCTTACAGAAAAAAAATGACAACAATCAAGAGCGTAGTGCTGCCAAAAAATCATTAAAGAGAGAGAGAGAGAGAGAGAGAGAGAGAGAGAGAGAGAAAAGAAACAGAGAAAGAAGCCGAAAAGGCTTCGTTCTTTTGAACACTATAAATATTATGGTTTCACAACAAATAAGCAAAAGCCAAATTAACAACATAACGATATGTACCCTTACTTCTCAGAATATTCAGGACAATCCACAAAGGCTGTCGAATCACAGGAACAATTATTCCGAAATTCCTCGCATTCACTTTTTTTCTTTTCACTTTTTTTATTTTATCGCATTCACAAAGGCCATCGAATCACAGAGCCAATTATTCAAGAAATGCCTCGGTAAAAGAGAGAGAGAGAGAGAGAGAGAGAGAGAGGAAAATTATATGTGCCATTGACAGCTCCTAAGCGAGAAGCAGTCGCGGACGGAACAGCACCTTCTTCAACCTTTTTGTGTATTTTTATTTTATATTTTATTTTGTCGTAAAAGAGCGGTTTGTTTGGGTCAAAGGCTCATAGAAAAGCCCAATACTTTGGTCCAAGCCCAATCGTAAGCATACAAATAGACAAGTAAATCCATAGATGTGGTCCAATTCTCGAGCAAATTGCTTATTTAACCGTTTTTAAAAATTAAAGTGTGATCTTAAATAAACTATTCAAAAAATGGCACAAAAAACAATTTATTGCTGAAAGAAAATACAAAAGAGACACGTGGGGCTACAGAAAACACATAAAAATTACAACAGGCAAGGGAGTACCTGTACTTCTTCACTGAAAAATAAAAAACAGAGAAATAACGAATCCGAAAAGGCTTCATTATTTTGAACACTCAACACATACGTAGCATGCAGACGTGAGAACGAACCTAAGCTTAAGCTTCATCCACATGAACCCACATTACGTTTTGACCGAATAACTTAAAATCGGTCTTTCTAAACACCTCAATTCTGTATTCACCGTGTTCCAGCTGAGTAAAGATGAGTCGATCCTTACGTTGGAGACGCTTAGCTCGAGCAAATCTAGCCCAATCACCAATAAAAACAGGCCTGGGATGGCCTCTGTTCCTAATGGAAAAACGAAAATTCCATTCTTGTTCAGTCCAGTCTCTAACCAGCAAATCACGTCCTCCAAACTTCTGAAAATACGGCAGCATGTTGGTTGGTATTGCTAGCCTGTTAGTCGAATCAGTCTTTGATAAAAGCTTAGAGAAAGCCTCCGTATATAATATAACTAACAAAAACACCAAAGAATTATCAGAGAGAGTTAGCTATTACGTATATGGATATGGTAAGTTTGCTTTCCTGATCTGCTGCTTAAGTGCGCATATATATAGTACGAAGGTTACAATGTTGGTGCAAGGTATCTATCGCGAGTCACTTCGCTTTCGAAGTTTATTGTCAAATTCTGAAGTTAGGATAAAATTATATCCACAACATCTCGACACTTGTCAAAAAAAAACAGCGTCAAGTCTTGACTTTTTATGACGGGGCTTTTATTGAAACTTCAAACTTAGAGTAAATAACTTTTTACTCCCAATCTATTACATAAGAACATCTTTCCCCTTGGTTTTAAAAACACTCATGTTACCCTCATTTTTAGCATTCAAGTGTCAAAAGCTAGGCGTAAACGGGCACTCTTATCCATGCACCATAATGTTATATATGTTAAGTGAATTGAAAAAATTGCTTCTTTATAATTAAATTTCAATGTTTGAATTTAGAAAATAGAGATAACAATGAGTGTTTCGGAAATCAAGGGTGGAAGTGTGATATCATGATAGATTGGGGGTCAAAAATTATTCAGTCTTGAAACTTGTAAACTTAGCTAAGGGAAACCTCTTTAACACCACTTCTATTTAAAAAAACGCAGGGTTTATATTAAAAGCTTGTGACCGATTGTGACACTGGCACAATTGTTACGGGGTTTTATTTTAAAAGATTGGAGTAAACAACTTTTTCCCATCCAAGGTTTGCCTTAATGATACTTTTCCACTAAAAAAATTTTAAAATACCATTTTCCTCCCAAAATTAATATTCTGTTGCTATCCAAAGCAATTTTAGAGGCAAAAATTTTCTCGATCATCATTGTTTAAACCTGAGGTCTCCTCTTTGTAAAACCCCTTTCACTCCAATACTTGATTTTTTTGTCGATTGTCAGCCATCGCAAAACTAGGATTTCTTATTCTTAGTTGATTTTCAGCTAATTTTAACAACGAATATTTAATCGGTTACCACTTTTTGATCTAGCAATCTCTACTCTACAAAACCCCTTTTATCTTGGTTTCTAGTAACTCGTCCAATGTCGGTTGACAAAGTGAAGTATATTTTGGATATTAATGAATATAAACTTTAGGTGAGAAAGTGATATTTTTGAAATTTTTTGGGTAAAAAAGTGTCATTAAGACAAACCTTGGATGGGAACAAGTAGTTTACCCAAAACATTGTGACCGATTGGCCAACAGGCAACACCACCCACTCTGGTCATCAAAGTGCGATTTTTTTCTCACCTTTATAAACACCGTGTAGCGAATTTATATTGCTTTCAATCATTTTCATCTTTATTCACAAGTTGATTAATATTTCATTAAATCTCTAGAGTATTCTCTCACCTACGTCGTCCCTTAACGAGATTCTGAAATTGAGGGGCTTGGCCTTGGCCCATTAAGGTGTCAGTATTGCTAAGAATATGCATTTCTTACGAACCTTTCTTACGATCCTTGTCTTAATAAGGTATCATTATGAATTTGTCTTAATAATTTCTACCAAATTAAAAATTTGTCACATCATATAAGTGATTTAATGTCTTCAACTTCTTGCTTTAAGTTTTGTGGGTTGTAACAAATGCATGCATGACTTTTTGTGTTTATTTGGTCGATACGCACACGGAAGTGGGACTAGATTAGACCTTTGTTTTTCTTTTTCTATATATTTTCGTTGCTATGATGTTACGTATATTTTTCCAGTAGAAATATTCCCAATTCCAAGATTATGTTTGATCATTTATGAATACTAAGAGTTGTTTGTCTAAGCTTATAAGCTGGTCAAACTTGCTTATAAGCTCTAAAATTTAACTGACCCGTTTGTTTATAACTTTTTTGAACTTATAAGTCGAGCTTATAAGAAAAAAAAATAAGTTGGGGGGACCAACTTTTTTTTTTTTTTTTTTTTGCTTATAAGCACTCTGCTTGTAAGCTAGTTTGACCAAGTATATTACCATCTATCCTTGTTAATTTTAAAATTCCATAGTAACCATTGTTTTTATATTTGAAATAGGTCATATTACTATGATTATTTTACCAATGGTAAAAATATTGCTTATTGGATGGCTATGCGTAATTTGTTGCCATGAAATTTGTACCGTAAGTATTTTCAATGTAATTGAATGGATTAATATGATTCAATTGAGACATGAAAAGAATATTTGATTGAATTTTTTTTTAAATAATTTAATTCATTATATTTGTTCAATAGTTTATTGGTATAAAGAATCAAAAAGTTGGGATTATACTCATTTATTTTAATAATATTCAGTAAAAAATTAAGTTTATATAGTTTATTTTGATAAAATAATACATAACCCTTTAGTCATTTTATAATAAAATGTACTTATAAGCTACATTTACACAAACACGTCAACTATTTATCAGTCACTTATAAGTATTAACCAAACACGTAATTGCTTAAATTTTAAATGCTTATAAGCTAAAACTAGCTATAAGCAAATTTTCATAAGTTAGACAAACACCCTAAAAAGTATCCTCAGAACTAGTTACCTTCAAAATGTGCAACTTTTGTTCTTCTAATGTTGTCAATTCACTCAATTTTGCATCCTCATGGCAAGAACAATATTGGATAGAGTTAGTGGTTGAATGAAGGTGAGTTAACTTTTTTTTTTTTTTTTTTTTTTTTAATGATCAGGTTATCCGAACAACTTATGTATGCCTCAACTAATTTTCGGAATTTATAAACATCCTGCAAACCCAATGTATAAGGTAAATCACAATGTGTTAGGTGGTTCGAATCTAATTACCTTTTTTTTTATTTTTTTATTTTTGCTTCTTCTTTGTATCTTAGTGGGAAAAAAATTTATGTGTTGAATGCACCAACATGGATATTCCTGACACGTCGAAATATTCAAGGCCAAATAACTGAGTCCCAAATTCACAGAATCAAGGAAAATTACACAATTTACCCCCCAACAAAATAATTGTGCATTAGAAATAAAGAAAACGTTTGAAGAGACAAAATTGACAAGATTTATGATCACAAATAACCACACTTGAGAAAGATGATGGAAATTTTCGGGCCAAAAGTTGATCATTTTCATATAATGAATAAAACTTAACTTACAAGGATTGTTGGACTGCCTACTTTTCTTTTATATGAATTAACTAATTTCCGATATTCTTCTTGTAATTAAGTTGCATCATAAGTTAACTAAAGTTAAATAAAGTATGAACATATAATTTCAAGTGTTCACATTACAATACAATTTGCAGCCAACACTCCAGTGCTTCATAAATTGACTTAAATTAATCTTGAAGAGGATATACCCATATGAAATCCGAAATACCCACCTATCTAACTTTGAATTGGATAATAAAGCCAATGAAATCAAAACTTAACAACAAAAATCTTTTCTATATTTTTAAAATAAGATAAATTCACCTACTTTAAGTTTTAAATAGGCCGAACGACATGCACCTACCTATAGTTTGTGATAATGATAATTGGTACCCAAAAGGTTTGAAAATGAAATATCCACTTCTGTCAAAATCTGTTAATAAAATTCTGTTAAGGAGGGTAATATAGTAATTTTATCTATTAATTAAATTCATCAATATATCCCTAAACTTTTTTTATCATATTTTTTTATTCATTTTTCTCTTCTCTCTCTTATCTTCTTCTTACTCTCCTTCTCTTTCTTTCTTTTTCTCCGTCTTTTGAATTTCCTCCTCCCCTTCTCTTTTTTACTTTTTCTCTCCTCTTTTCCCTTCTCTCTTTCCTTCTCTCCAGTTCTTCGTCTTTTCCCTCCCCCCTTCTCTTTTTTCCTTTTCTTCTCCCTCTTTTCCCTTCTCTTTCTTTCCTTTCTTCTCCGTCTTTTCCCTCCTCCCTTCTATTTTCTTCCTTTCTTCTCGGTCAGGACCTCCACCAGCTCCAAACTCGCCACCAGAACCACCAAATACAACCATCACCACCACCACAAACCACCACAAATTTCAAACACTTCCAGCCCAAACCGTAAAAAGTTATAAAAATTTGAAAAAAAATTAAAAATTAAAAAACTGAAGAGGAAAAGACCACCAAATACAACCATCACCATCACCACCGCCACAAACCACCA